CTGGACGCTGGTCAGTGGTGTATGTCTGGGTGTTGGGTCTGGACGCTGGTCAGTGGTGTATGTCTGGGTGTTGGGCCTGGACAGTGGCTAAGAGGTGTCTGTCAGGTTTGAACCTCAGATGGGATTAGTATGTTGTAGATAGAAGATTGTTTATATTATTATAATATAGTATTAAAAAAAATAAAATAAAGCTTAGTACTCGGTTCATTCTTAAGGGTTGCAGTGGCTTTAAGTAGTTTTGTAATGACTAAATTTGCTGGGTTGAAGTAATCCAGATTTACTCTGACCTCTGAAGTGGGCACCTGTGTCCCCTGCTGGCCCTTGAGAAAGCTCCAGTCCCTCAGTTTCACGCAGAGTGCTGTAAAGAGCCAGGCCGAGCGCTGAGGATTAGCAGATGTGAATGGAAATGTGTCAGGGCAAGATGCACCAGCACACCTGAGTCTCTAACGAGCTGCCAGGCCACTAATTGGCATCCTGTGGGCAATAACAGATCTCCTTCAGACTTGTTAAAGCGGAAAGACATGAGGTAGCAAGCACTAGCCCTGAAGAGGCACTGAGGGAGCTGTCCAGCTTGTCTCCAGCCCTGCAACACATTTTTGAGGCAAAGAGGGGATCAGTCAGACAGAAACCCTACAGCATCCAGCTCGCCTCAAGAGTGCGCCCTCGATCTGATGTCTCACCAGGAAGACATTTATATAATTTCTGAGCTTTACAATTCATGTACTCGACTCACGAGCAGCCTCATATCTGTGCTGTTGGATGGAGTACAGCAAGAGCTGATTTCTGAAGGAGAGATGGCGTGTGAGGATCAAACGTGCACACAGCTACTAGATAGCTGCAGCAGTGGACACAGAGCAGGGGTACTGAGCACAGACAGGTGGACACAGAGCAGGGGTTTTGAGCACAGACAGGTGGACACAGAGCAGGGGTACTGGGCACAGACAGGTGGACACAGAGCAGGTGTACTGAACACAGACAGGTGGACACAGAGCAGGGGTACTGAGTACAGACAGGTGGACACAGAGCAGGGAGCACCTGAGCACAGACAGGTGGACACAGAGCAGG